GGGACCTGGCCAGCATCTGATTGCGGGTCCAAGACGATGGAGGTGTTTCTCCGAGACGGTTGAGATTCCGATCAACTCTGCTCGGCGCTCCGAAGGCAATGAGAGGATCCAAAGAAGATCTGGGTGCACAAGTCTCGAACCTCTCTTGCTGCTGATGGTAGTCGATGAGATTGCAAGGACCACTGCTTGGTTGAGGTGGCACAAAGGATTCAGCCAAAACGAGGGGACCCTTTTTCTCAACTTGTTCACGTTCATCCCAAAAACACACACAACCAGAAAAGACATGTTCACTAAAAGGTTCAGGATCACGATCAATCACTCGGTGCGAAATCTCTCGAGGTGTCGAATCTACACAGCTGTATCTACCATCGCCCCCAGGACCAAGTGCTGTCAGTCAATCTCTCCTGGAAGGGAAATGTCCCTATTCAAAGCAAAAAAGACAAGAAAAGACAAAAAGAGCCGGTCCAAGGGAGAGCTCAGGGCCATGATGTCACTGGCCAATGGAAACACTTGGCGCCCTGAGGGAGCACGTTCAAGAGCAATCACTTTCGTCGGGCCAACGGCCTTCAATACCATTTGGTCGTGCTCAAAATCGATCACTGCCTTTAGCGACCGAAGAGCGGACGCTGCAAGTAAAATTGGTTGACCTTCAATGTCATGTACGTGAACCTTCATTGAACCGGCACCCTGGTTCAATGGAACTTTCAAGGTTGTTGTGGAAAGACATTTTGTCTTGCCATTGTTGCCAAAACGAAACTGAGGTTGTTCCTCAGGAGATAGCAGGGATCAAAGCGGTTCTCATGTAGAAGTTCCATAGCGGCCACTGAACCTACGGAGCTGGTTGCTCCACCATCGATTATGGCCTTGCCCTCGGCCATAATCTGATGCAGCGAGAGTCCGTAGTCTCGGTATCATCGATGTTCGCTGTGACGGCCGTAGCATTTGGCTTCTGGACGCCTGTCAGGGTGAAGGCCAGGTGTGCTGAGCCACTGTGAGATGTCTGTGAGCCTTGTGTGCACTTGCTTGTGTGATGCGAGCCGCCGCATTTGAAGCACTTGGGAGTGTATGTAGAGTCACTCCGGGCCTTTGCAGAGGGCACCATCACGCTTGATGGGATAGAACTGTCGGTTCTTCAGATAAGTGCTTTGGCGCTCACGAGCATCTTTTAAAGTCCTTTTGGCCTGATGGAAGACTTGAAGAGCATGGTCCACGTCACTGCAGAGGAGGCCATACTCGCCTTTCTCTTCATCAGAAGGGAGCCCGAAGAACTCCGAGTCAGACTCTTCCTCATCCTGTTGGAGCAATATGTCCTTGGAGTCATCCTCGTCAAGAGCCAAGGCCGTGCCTCGGTTCTGATCGCGACGACGAAGGTCATCTTCTGGCCAAGCGAGCTTCAATGCCTTCTTCACGTTGTCAGTCGTGAAGATGTTGCGAAGGCTTGCAATGATGGTTCCACGTTCAGTGCTGTCCAATCCGGAGCGTTGAAGGAGTATCCATGCCACCACAAAATCAGGAAGGAAGCGGTCAGCTTCTGAGGAGGCGGCACTGGACACGTCATACTTAGTCATACTTGGCCGTCAGGGACGACGGGATAGATGTGACCAACAGTCCTGATTTTTCCACCAGCCACTGCGCCAGTTTTGCCATTGATCATGTCGCCAGGACCACTCAGACTCCTGTCCATCCCCAGGGTGCGAGATCTCTTCTCGCAAGCGCCCATCTTCATCAAACGGCGCGTCACTATGGTGCTCACGGGAGGAGAGATGATCTTCCAAACCTGCACCCGACTGCACAGCTGAGAGGGGCTTGAAGGAACCTGCATTAGATACGCCTTCGTGAGAAGACGTCTCTCCAAACAAATCTCCATACTCTTGTATTGCTTCTGCCAGCGTTCGTCGGGCCTCATAGAGAGACTCATCGTGACGAACCACCCACAAGCATTCATAGATTCACCCTTGCGACGCTTGATGGTGTAGAAGAAACGAGAGATCATCTTTCCAGCTTCTGCGAGTGTAGGAGCTTGGACTTTTGTCTTCAAGAAGTCTAGCAGCATTGTGGCACCCTCCTGATGACTAATCCAGCCAGGCGTCTTATGCTGCACAGCCACACGAGCAGAGCCTTCCAAGGCTGCTTGAAGCCTAGGGCCAGCAAGCGATCTTTTCTTCCACTCCAGCGTCTCCACATAGTTGAGAGCCGCGCGCCGAAACGGCGCGTATAGCTCTGAGTTCCCATCGAAAATGGGCACGCCATCCTTGCTTTAGCGCAGTTCAGACATGATGTCACTGCAAGTAGCCCCACGGTCTACTTGAAGCCGTGAGGCTCCGCTACCATGCGAGAGCCACGACACAAGCGAACCTCGCACGAGCACGGATGCCTTTTCATCCAAATCAGAGGGTGCTCGAGTAGATCAGGTGGCAAACGGACGTAGGACATATGGAAACTGGAATTGTCAAATTCGCACTCAGTATATGGTTCAAGAAGAACTGTCCTTTACCTCTTACAATCTGTTGTGACTTCAACAGTCGGGACATTCCCAAATGAATGTGCTTGACCACAAGGATTTCTTCCAAGTTGTGGCACCTTTTCGTTCTCACCACATTTTGCCCAGTCGTTCGGCGGTTTCTCGTCGGGCCCTGCCTCTTCATGTCCCTAGGTCTGCTCTCTGTCGGAGGCTCTTGAAAGATCTCGAAATATCTCGAAGTAGAACAATGATTGAAGGCTGGCAACATTTCATATTGGGTTCCTCCTGTCTTGCTTTAACTTCAATGTCCTGTTTCAACAAGCTGTTCTAATTCTCAAGATTTTCTCTTGGTTAATCAGTTGGATCCTAGATCTTGACATTCTTAAGAATGCAAAAAGAAGAAACGACAATTCTTACCCAAGAATACAAGGACTAGACCGGAGGCAACAGGAATGATTGCCCTCTTCGTTGAGGACAAAAACAGAACGGGAGTGTGGGATTGACCAGCTTCACTATGTGGCGAATGACCAATGTGGTGCGTGCATCGATTTTTATACACATAAACTGGACTATACAACAATATAGCGATAGAGACAACGTGGACCTTCAGTACCGGACTCTTTCAGGCTCCATCATACCCGGCGCCCTGAGTCATTACCGACATCACGGGGAGACACTCGATCCGTCCCATGGCTCCTTGATTGCCACCAGTGCGTGAATCTTCAAACCGTAGATCGCATCACCCAATGCCTCGCCAGACACTCTCACTTCTGGAACAAGTCCAAAGGGATTCCAGCTTCTTGTGCGGACCGGAGTAAACAACAAAGGAAGGAAAACTGTGATGTAAAAAACATCTAAGAACACAAAACCATGAAACCAAATGACAATCCAATGTCTTGGATTTGGGATTGAAACAGGGCGACAGCCGGTGAAACAGTAGCAAAATGCGCTTGATTGTTTTGGGGCCTGCAACTCGAACCAGCTCATAATACAAAGATGGTGTGTACATGGTAAAACCCATGTGTACTGCACTGCCCATCACCACTCCATAATTTCACGGTCACCTTAAACCACTGCAGGCTAATGTACTAATATCTAAATCTATAACTTGTTACCCACGGCCTCGCGGTCATTCCCCAAGGCTGCCAAGACCATGTCAAAGGATTTGCGTAGAACCGTGGCTTCGGTCGAAGACCTAGAGATTCGCTGCGCCGCTGCATGTTTTTGGGGCCCTCCTCTCAAGGCCCCAAGGAGAGTCCAGAAATTTCAAAAGCATTCGGGCCCCCCTCTGAGAGTACATGTCAAAAGCATAGAGAATCACATAAGGCTGATGGAGTCAGCTGCAAGATGCTGCAAGTGCAGTTGCTGGACACCAGTGAGCGGGGATTGTTCATGGTCGTTCCATGATGCCTGAGCCCCCCCGACAAGGCCAGCTGATTCATCGTCTCGCCGAACCCCGCTGCCCCGTCACCGACTTGTTCCTTCCCTCGGCCGATCCAGGTCGGAGCCCTTGGGGTCCAAGTCGGTCCAATTCTCCCAAGGTTTCCAAGGGAAGTCTAAAGCAATATATATATATATATATAAATTCTCTGAACATGATTTGTTATCTTTTACCCGCTGGAATTTTGGACATCACATGTCACATGCAGCACAAAACTATGATGACACGATGTGATAGGCCTTCGGCTGGTTTCGAACCCTGTATAGACCCTTATCTTATAGCCCTTGTGGCAGGCATCCCTTTTTTGACAAACACTTCCTCTGCTACGCTTCAAAAGGATTCAGAACGCCCTCATTCTCCCGTGCTCGCCCTAGCTGGCCTTCGGGATCAATGCCGGCACCAAAATCCGAGTCCAGAGCATCACTCACTGCCTCATCCACCACGGACAGTGTCTCATCATCTGCACCACCGGCGGCCACCGTCTGCAAGACTTCCGTAGGTTCTCGGGAATCTTGCTCCTCGCCGGCAAGGAAGCGGGGACCAACTTTATGCTGTTAAGATTGCGGTAAGAACTGTTGTCAACTTTCCCATGACGTGGATAGGCTTAGAAGTCAAACACTCCGGCATCCACAAAATGTGGGACTCCACTTCATCCGGGAACAAAAGGCAAAACATACCACAAAAAACATTGAATCAACTCAAGTGACTGGTGATGGTCCCGCAGGCAAATGTAGGCAAATATGAATGCCATTGCGGCATTGTTCTGAAAAAATGATTCCTAGCGATTCATAACATACTAGACTAATCATACCATTCGCAGGCTATACTTGGTTGTCTTCGATATTCTGATGTCATGGCCCTTGCTTGCCTACAAAGGTGCACACACAAACTCGAGATATTGCGCCTCATGTCACACGCCCACCTAGGCTTGAAAGCCCAAGAGGCCAGGTTAAAGGTATGTATATAAGGCGGTTTGACCATGAACCTGAGAAGACACCTAAAAGTCGAGCGGCGAGCACTTGTCTGCAGAACTCAAACCCATGCAATGGCCAGCCACTTGTTCTAGTGACAATGGGGTAAATACGGCAGGTGCATCCGGCTGATGAGGCCAGATATCAGCACGGAGTTTGACCCTCTTCGCTGGATCACCAGTCAAGTCCGTGGGTGATCCCCCCTGCCAAAAAATTCATCGCGATCAAAGGACTCCCTGTCACTCCAAGGGTTTCACACACCCGCCTCCCACAAGGGGAGGTGCGGAAAAACTAAGGTTAAAACAAATGTGCATGTGTGCCGTGCGCGCGCAGAACAGACAAACGGATGAGGACATCAAAAGAGGACAAGGCAGACCTGGTGTATGTGGTTGCAATGAAAAGAAACCAAGTGACCAGGGACAACCGATGAACCAAACCTTCTTGTAACAACCTGGGCGACCTCAAACCTGGACTTCAAGTACAAGTGCACACGTACACTAAGGGCCGGACCGTTGCATGCGCAAGAGAGAAAGGGAATGAGGTGCCAAAACATGAAGACAGAAAGACATTAATAGCAATAAAAATAATGTGTCTAACAGGGGAACAAAGATGAAAGGGGAACCAAATGGGAGGGTCGGAAATCGACGAAGCCAAACCGCATTAAGAGAACCGAGGGAGACCAAGCCTGGTTTGGTATGTGCGCGCCGCGTGTGCACTTAAGGAGTCAAGTCCGCGGGCGACCCCCCTGCAAAAAAAATCATCGCGATCAAAGGATTCCCTGTGACTCCAAAGGTTTCACACACAGACGCACACACTTCCCCAAGGAGATGAAATAACCCGCCCGTCTAATCCAAAAGAAAAGCCCGACACGCTGTGTATCGGTCCCATGGTCGGTCGAACGTCAGTCCATGTCAGTCCTGTGGGACTTCTTGGTCAACTGCGGGAGACTTCATCTCTCGTTACTTGAAATTCTGATCAAGTTTTCCCCGTGGAAAACGACACGCAGCTGGTGCGATCAGTCAGCTTTTTGTTGAGTATCCGAAAAAGAACGGCTGCAGTGGCGGGCGATGCTCGCACAAACAAGGCATGGCCTAGGTCAATCTGCGGATAGCGGACCAAATGTCTGGCCCTTCCCTTGAGGCCATTTATGTGCCATGCCTTTATGATTGTTTGCTGCACATGCGAGGACAGGAAACTGATCAACAACCTGCCTCGAAGAGATCAACCCAAATCTTGCGATGCGCGGCCGCAACACCTTCGCAGCCTGTCACAACCGGACCCGTGTGCAACCGGGACTGTGGATTCCAAAGCTCTTTCGGGAGGTCTGTCGAGCGGCAACAAGATAAGACCCATTCCTTGCCATCACTTGGTGCCAGGAGTTGATTCAAATCCCTGGAATTCATGACCCACTTGTCCAAGAAGGAGCACTTTTGTGCCAAGCTACCCCTTTCAGTGCCCTTCAGTCTGAAAACGTATGGCAGGAACCATGGTAGCCATGGCAACTTTTGGAGCCCTCAAAGGCCTACGGGGGTACATAGTGTGCCCTTGCGGTACTTGGGTTTGGCAACACCGTGCCAAGGGTTCATGCCATGTTTCAAAAGCACAGCTGCTGGAACATGCTGGAACCATAAATGCGCTAAAGCAGAACCAAGCTTGTATAGTGCTGGCAACAGCTTTCTTCACCGATAAAAAACAAACGCTTGTCCAAGAAACTTGGCTCAAACTCCTGATGTCAAGCCAGCAAGCTGACAGGTTTTCTCCTCAGATTCAGGTAATAGCAGGCATGTGGGAGGTCGCTGCCCCATGTTCCACATCAAAAACTTCAAATCCTCATCACAAGCGTGAGGGGTAGTACGGGACTCGGTAATTGCCCTTGAGAAAAACTCGAAGTCCTCCTGACCTGTTGATCTCATGCTTAATTACCAAGTCCCCGAGGTTGCTTCTAAACGGGGAACAAGCTCGACAATGATTTCAAAGTCTTAAACCGGTGTAAACTCAGCATAGGGAGCATGGAAGGTGGCGATATGAGCTAAGCAGCTTGGCACAACGCACACCCTTCAACAAAAAAGGCCATGCATACGCATCATGAAAGCGTCGGTTGGAAGGCCTACTGTCCAAACCTCCGCTGCAAAGAAAGCAACCATCCACGAACCAGGGGTTCAATTTTGGGTAAGGATCCAAAACCAGACCCAGAACTTCTGCGCTGCTGGAAGTTCAAGTGGACTCCCTGGATGAGTAGAATGCTGTCAAAATGCCCCATGTGTTAACAGCAAATTCCGCTCTTTGCCTGCTCCTGCTCCCTGTCTAAGTGTACACCCGATCAGGCGGAGTGGTTTCTCAACGCCGAAGGAAGCAGGAAATCAATTTCTCTGCATCTCTGGAGGTGAGTGCCTCTTCAGGTGAAGTGCATCGAATTTAGTGGTATATATTTTCAGGTAACGAAGAAACGGACGTCAAAGCACGACCGCATCCCAATACCACGATTAGTGGTGGGGATTGACAACACTTGCTAGCTACGGAGCCTCGTTGTTCCAATGATAAACCAGCTGATTGCCACTGTCTGAACTCGGATGCAACGGTGCATAACTAACAAGTACATACATGTACATACATACCTCTTCTTTTGTTCGCCTCTTTCCCTTTGATGACTTCTTCTTAGATCCTTCGGGAAAAAGGTCGAGTCGGCTCCAAAATGATGAAAAAAAATCCTCCACCAGCTGAGGTGCCTGAGGCATCTACCTCGACATCAGCTGTTGCGGGAGTTCTTCCATCAACGCTAGGGAGCATGCCCGCTCTCAATAGCGACTTTGATGAATTGGAAGGGAACCGGCCTGGACGGCATGTCTGTGATCGAAACCTAAATTCAATTTTGGCCTCACGGCCAGTGTGGGCTGGAATCCTCCATGTCAGCATGAAGTTCCACGTCGGAACAAGGGCGAATCGCTTCCGACAAGTCCCAGAAAGGAAGTTTCAACGGGATGCATGCAGCTCAGCATCTGACAAAAATGAGCGATGATGCAAATAAAACAACAGCACAAAGTATTCATGTGACCCATGCGTTCAATTTGCGCCGAGTCTTCGAGTGTTTTTTGCAGAACGTATCAGAGGTATCTTCACCATGTCTATGTTATATATTGGCTGCCCTTGGAAGATCCCAGCCACAAACACCACATGAAAGAATCTATTCCGAAGTTTCAATTGCTTCGCGATGGCTGTGCCAAAATCTTGCCCTATTCACTTCTGGTGCCCTGCAACCACTTAAACCAAGACCAACAATGGGGTGACTTTGATGAGGAAATGACTGGGCTACCAGGAATTGACTGCTCGTGCCGATCTGCTCAATCATCCTTCTGGTCACTGCTGTGGTGGCTGCTGCTCCTTGGTTGAGGTTGAGGGAAGCGCTGCCAACATTAATTAGGAATGCTGAGTGCTCGTTGGTGTTTGCAACATTCAATTGGAAGGACTTTGTTCGGCCTTCCTGGAGGGGGCCCCTGCTAGCTTTGGGTAGAGCAAACATGGTGCAAGTTTCTGAAACGCCCAGTGGATTCTCGATTCCCAACGATCCCAACAAAGCATCTCCGCCCTTTGGATCAATTTGACAAAGCCAAGCTTCGTATCGTGATCGCTGCTCAAGCCGGTGCTGATGGTACTCGCTCCACCCTTCTTTCCACTACTACCCAGCATCTTGTGCAGCGACTTCTGAATCCTTGGGCCCGACAAAGGGGGCCATCAATGGACTCAGATCCAACCCTTGCCCGAGCGAATAGCAGGTAACGGTGAGGAGATTGATGATGATGATGATGATGATGATGATAAGGGCTACGTGCTCAGGCTCTTGAACCCAGGGCTAGTGTGGACATGCGGATTTGCACCCCATTGTCTTCATTGTGAATGCCATCCACCAGATCTCGGACGAGCTCGCTTACCGGGTCAACTGTAGCCTACCTGCAGGACAACAAGAACGACCCTGAGCATCGAATATTGATTACAATCAATATTCTCAAACCCCTTTTGATTTAGCTTCAAAATCAATATTGGAGAATTTTTTGATTTTGAAATCAATTGTAAAAACTAGTAGGAAGAAACACCAAAATAATCAATATACAAAAACACACGAGAAAAAGCAAAAAAACAATATTATCAAACAAATCAAACAGGTCCCAGCCCTGCCCAGGCCCTGCTAGCACTCTCCTTTTTTCCATACCATTTCTATCTTCATCTAGCTCTTTGGCCAGGCTCATCTGCAGAAAGCATGTCCCTTTTTCAAGGTTCATGCATGAATTAAGATGCACATCTTTTTCAAGGTTCCTCTTTTCAAGAGTCTTTGGACTGATCCCACTTCTTTTTCAAGCTTTCATCACAGGCTTGCTTTTTCAAGCTTGCTCCAGGCCAGAGGCTTAATTGCACTTTTCAAAAACCTCAACCCAAACCTTTTTTCAAGGATGGTTGGGTCTGTCAAGGTTGCAGGAGGCCTCCTTTCTCAAGGGTCAATCTGCCTCGATGCCAACTCCATCCCTTCTCTTGTGAGAAGAAAATGAAGCAGGATGCGGTATTTTGATGCAACCTTGACACTCAACCTTGTAGAAGATACACCAGGGCTCACACTGGATGTGAGCAAGAGAAAGTCCAGTGGGTTTTGGGGTTGAGGTATTTTTAGTTTGCAACCAAGTGCTGAAATGTATGGCATTTCATCACTATGTTGAAAAGCTTTCTTCCCTTTTCAGGTGCCCAAGCAGACGGAAGGGCATAGTAGTCACTGAACCCTTTTTCAAGGGACATGGCTTTATGCCATTCAGCTTCTGTCAAGAATGCATCTGCCTCATCAAAGAGCTTGATGAGTTTTGACATGCACTGCATGGCCTGGAGCATGGCCTTCTCTTCTGCAACCCCTTCATCCAACAATGCCTTGCATACTGGCAGAAAGGCATGCAGGATGTGCTTGGTTTCTGCAACTTTCAAGTCCAGGTGGGCAAAGCTTGCGTGGGGTTGCTTGGATTCAGTGATCATGCTCAACCTGAGGTTGGTGACCCTGGTCGGTGAAGATTGCCTCACATATTCTCTTTGGATGGCTTCAAGCATGGCTCCCAATCTCTTTTCTGGGGCCACTGCTTGAACCTTACCAGGGCTATCGCGCCAACACAGGTAGTGCATGATGCTGTCTAGGAAATGTCCTAGGGCACCTTTGCAAAATAGTATGTGGAGACAATCTCCCCTGACCATTTTGGTCAGCCCTCCAATCACTCCAGAAAAGAGGGGGTGATTGCTCCTGGGGTGCTCATTGGACACCATTGTGAAGCCTTGTTTGCCTTTTTCAAGGGTTTTGTACCAAAGCTTCACTGTTTTTTTTTGGGCCCCTTTTGGGCATCACACTCCCAACAGGGGTAGTGTGATGCCCAATGAGGAAGAAGCAATGCATTGGAGAAAAACTAATGATCTCCTTGAATGCACCAGAGCACCCCTTTCAGCCCATTGCACAGGGGCTTTCCTTTTTCAAGGTAGAAGGGAGAATCCTTTTTCAAGGGGTTGCCTGCAGGGTCATGAGTTGGACGCAACCCTTTTTCAAAACTATGCACATATACCTTTTTCGGGCATGCACTTGGTACAAAACTGTGTCAGCTTTTTCAATCTGAGCTATTTACTGGCCTTGCTCAAGGCCTTCATGCTGAGCTGCACCAAC